AGGTACTTCTTGAGGTCGGTGTCGAGGAACTCGAAGACGAGGTAGAGGACGGGCTTGCCGTTCTTGGCGGCCTGCTCGACGGCGAGGAGGCGGACGACGTAGATGGAGTGGGAGAGGAGGTTGAGGAGGGAGATCTCGCGGAGCGCGGTGGGCGGGATCCCTTCCTCGTCCATCTCCAGCCGGGTCTTCTTCAGCGCCACCAGCTGCCCCGTCGCCTTGTCCTGCGCCTTGTACACCTTGCCGTAGGTCCCCTCCCCGACCTTCTCCAGCTTCTCGTACTTGTCCACGATGTTGATCTCCATCGCGCGTCGTCGCGGTCGCGCCGGCCGGGCCGGGCCCTCCCCCGCGAACACGGATCGCGAACTCTCGCCGGCTGGCGGTGGCGGTGGCGGTGGATGAGGGCGAGGGCGAGGGCGACGCCGCAAAGGCAAACCCTAGTAGGGAGGATGGGGAGGGGGAGGAGGAGTGGGGGGAGAGAGGGAAAGGGAGCCGAAATGCCGCCGCCCCGCCGCGTGGGAGAGAGAAGGAAGAGAGAAATGGGCCGCTCCGGGCAACGGTCGGGAGGAGGCTGAGGCTTCGCGCACACGCCGATGGTTCGAACTTCAAACTGCACCTCATCCGATTCCGAGCTTATGTAATGTACTCCCGTTCATACGGTGATGCGCGTGCAGTACACGTGGTATGGTGATGCAACTACTATGGGATGGGATTGGTTTTTCGTTGCCACGTTAATTAATTAAATTAAATTATATTATATATATGGCTAATGACGATGAAGGGATCACCTGGTACTTTGCGCGCAGGTAAAATTCATATTTCCTCTGTTCTAAACTATATAGATAATTTTAGTACACCCTTCTTCTCTAGCTAATAAAGCTCTCTCTTCACTCGAAAAAGAAAAAAATTAGTACACCCTTTGTCTCAAATACACTTAATATTTTAGGATCTTTTAAAGCAAGATTAGTGCTCAACGAGAATTGCTCACTTACCCCTGTTCATTAAAGATAAATCTCGGCTGACGGCACTGAGACGGGGAGCGGAGGAGGCGAAGGTGTCCTCCACCGAATTGATTGGGCACGAGAGAAAGAAAAGAGTCATGCGGGTTGATGCTGCTGAGACCAGGTGTAGCTCTTGAGAAATATTAAGTGTCGGGTTCATAAACCTGAGGTTCCTCGGGGATCGGCTTCCACGCCAAGGCTCGGGCCAAGCAGGTAGCACACAACTCGTGGGCCGGCCCAAGAGTCTAAAACAACAGGTCGGAAGGGTGGTCCAGTCACCGACCGGAAGGTCTGGCCGAAGAAGAACGGCGCTCGCTCGTCGACTACTTCGGCTACCTGTCTGACCAAAGCGCTCGCTTGAGACTCCAGCCGCCTCCAGACGGCCTCTCCGATCGGAAGGCCTGGTCCAAGCGCTATTTCCGACTCCGACCCCGCATCTCCGACCGGGGTGCGCAGAAACTCTGCTCACCGCTCTTCTCCGACTGGCGTGACCAGAGCCGACTAGGGCCATCCGACCGGGGACGCCCGCTCGGAAGGAGCCAGGGATGAACGGAGAAAGCAAGCCAGGGCGCATAAGTCAAACCACGATACCAGGGACCATACCATGTACACCTGCAGGAACAGTACTCTGCAACCGTCCTGACACAAACAGTATTGTAGGCGCCGACATTTTCCTCTATAGTATTGTAGGCGCCGTTACAACCCCCGTACGGTAAGGCCCCCTATGTGTCTCTGGGCATCGATAGTGTTGTGAGCGCCGGGATTTACCGTATGAGGTGAACGTGATGACACTCCTCACATGCCTCTTGGCATCAAACAATATTTACAGGTACCGACATCTACTATTCCTGAAGGAGGCAAACGCAACCTCCCACATGCATCTGACATTCAATAGTGACATCAACAGTGTTGTGGCCGCCTACCATTCTCTTGTACCCGCCGGCATGGGCAACAAAGCTCAGTAGCATACGTACCCTCACCCTCTCGCTTGTAAAGCCATCCCCTTTGCGCACCCTCCAAAAAACGGGGGGCTTTCTTAGAGCTTTTCTGAGATTCATTAGATCGACCAAGTTCACTAGTCTACAACCGTAGAACAGCCAGGTTCGAACCTCAAGCACCCGCTTGAACACTCAGCTCATAGCGTAGCTTCTGTCGCTCTAGGTCCTTCCGACCGGAGCCGACCGGACCTCTTGTACACCCTATCTTTCTCCTTCTCGTTTGTAACCCCACTGCAAACTTCGAGCACCTGGGCTCAGGAATAAAGTTACTGACCGACCCAAACTGGACGTAAGGCACGTTGCCTGAACCAGTATAAACCCTGTGTCATTGAGTGCTAGGCCACCTTCGATCACAACGTATGGCAAAACTACAAATATTTACTAGTTGGTCATATTCTGCACCGACACTACGGTCTAGTCCATTCCTCAAAAGATGTTTCCATATGATCCCTATCCACAACAATTTTAACTTTTAGTTTCGACGAGCGAATAATCATTAAGTCCTCTTTCCGGACAAGACATACAAAGAGATCCGCCGGCTGTCTTTTTATTGAATCTTTTAAAGATAGATATTATGATTAGTCCTTTTCTTTACTATCTACCGTCCTTCTATTTTTTTAAGTTATTCATTGGAGTAATTGTATATTGAGGTCAATCCGAGGCAAGTGTTCGGATCTGTCTTTTCGCAATGTGTCTCCACACTGGCATAATGACCTAACACGTCGCACAAGAAAAATCCGAGGCAACTTGTAAGGCCAGTCTCGATGGTGAGTTTCATGGCGTTGTTTCCAAGACTGTAAAATAAAATGAAACATGAATGAAACACCTATTCTCAATGGAGAGTTTCATTCTTTGGTTTCATTGATATTTAATTTCATGACTTATAGAGAGCTGGTAGTCATGCCAAGAGAGTTTTATCCCATAAAACTCACTTCTTCTCTCTCTAATTAAAAACGTCACCGCATCATCAAAAAAACGCTTATGTGACACCCTATTAAATGCAAATAAAACTTAGCCTAAGAAATATTCTCACTTCGATGGCAAATGTGAAGAAATTTTAGGAAGGTGCTATTTGAACGCGTAACAACGAGGGAGTGGCGTAAAGTTGAAAAGACCAAAGAAAATGGCAAGAATAGAATATCGTTTTTGCGGTGGCAATTTTTTTTTATTTCCCATTCTATCCCCCTTAGCAGCTCAAATCCTCTGCTCCGTCCTCACGACCTCACCGCACCAGCTCACTCCCCTGACCCCTCTAGCCTTTGCGTCGGCTCCACCTTCCCATTGCCGTTGGATCTGTCCGCGCCCGGGCACGAGGTCACCGGATTCAGCATTCCGCCTGAGCGCCGTCTCTCCTGTACCCACCCCATTGTCTCCGTCTAGGTCCTGTCCGGAGTTCTGCCATAGTCCCTGTGTTAAAACCCCGGGTTCCCGATGGGATTCCCTTCCCTCCTTAGCAGATCCTAGTCGCCGTCTTCTTCTCAGGCAAGAAAGTGAGGGAGGAAGGTCGCCGGCGGCAGCCGGCCGCCGCATGCTCGGGCCAAGATGTTGACTGGTTCTACGGCGTGCTGGCCTCGCTGGGGCTGCGCCAGAAGGTGGCCAAGATCTTCTTCCTCGGCCTCGATAACGCCGACAAGACCAAGCTCCTCCACATTCTCAAGGACGAGGTCTGGGAAAAGATCCCTTTTTGGTATTCTGACTTAATGCCGACCTCTATTTGTTTCGAGTAGATGGGGTGGAATTCTGTGGTTCGAAACATCACGACCTTGCTTGGATCTGTAAGTATAGCTCAATTCAGACATTAAAATTCATAATATATCACTAAACATATATAGGCGTGCAACTCTAAACTGCTACCTACTAAATACTATTTTTTATGAGGCCATAGTGTTGGCTTTAGTCGGTACAACGGTGGATATTGAACATTGTTTTATAGGGGATTAGTGACTGAAGTACTGAACCCTATGATGAGGAATTGATCTGCTGAAACATCAGATGTGAGATTTTATTTACTGAATCATTAGTCAAGGGTATTTTTGAGCTGATTGTTGTACTGTAATGGAGCAGAAATTAGTGGTTGGTTACCATGCACAGACAATAACTTTTAGTAGCAGCAGGAGAAAGTAGTTTATCTAACTGCTGTTGCGGGTTTGGGTGGTTAAATCCTTGTTTGCAGAACTAAGGATTAAAAAGTTTTCATTGCAACACCCATCAATGTTGGGAGGAAGCAAGCAAATCGATTGGTGCTCCAAGGAAAGCAATTCGTTCATTAATCATTCTTCCGACCTGAGAACAATGGAAAAGGCGCAATGCAAGAATCTTTAGAAAGATCAAGTTCCCTTTCATGATGCTATTGGCGAAGATAAAGGATGAGGCAAGGGCATGGTGTCTGGATGGTGCAAATAGCATGAGAGAACTTAACCACAAGAGTAGTGTGCTTCATGTAGTCCTATTTTTTCTCTTTTGAGCTTTTGTTTTGCCTCGGCCTTTTGTTTCTTTCGTCTACTCTACCCCCCCTTGTTTTTAATCAATTGAACAGCAGAACTCCTGCCGGTTCGGTTTCAAAAAAAAAAAAAAGAGAGAGAGAGAGAAAAAAGGAAAATTGCAGGCCCATCAGGGTTTGTTTCTATTCTTACATGCCTCCTTCCTTTGTTTTATTTGTTCTCTGACTGTCCTAATCCTAAATGCAGATGGAGCAACCCTCAAGCTCACCAACAGCGCCATGGTCGGACCTCTTGCCAGAGCTCCTTGGGCTTGTGTTCCTCCGCCTCCCTACACGCGTACTTCCCTGCTGTCTGCCGCCAATGGCGCTCTTCCATGAGGCAGTGCCACCTACCACCCATGTCACCAATGCCTTGGTCCGTGCTTCCAGGAGGCAACATTGTTAGATTTTCTCATGGTCAAACCTTCCACTTTCCCGACGCTACTCGTTACCACAACTCTTGTGGAGAGTGGCTTCTCTTATCCCGGGATGACGACAGCTGCTTCATGTTGAACCCCTTCACCAATGCCACTGTGCAGCTATGGTGAGCATGTAGAAACTGTCAATGTCCCTGATGATGAAACGACGGTCACATGGATGGACATCAAGGACCTAACTGAGATATCTGTAATCACGCTGATTATGTGCTCCAAACACCTCATTGCTGCGATAGTTGCTATTAGTGGCCTTGGTACAATTGCACTATGCAGGCCAGGGGATGCTGCATGGTCAGTGAGTGCACATGAGCAGTGCATGTGGCTCTCAGATATGGTCTTCTTCCAAGGGAAGCTCTATGCTATTGACACCAATGAGGACCTTTCCATTGACATTGTGGATGAGCTTGACAATGATAGGCCAAGGGTATCTCATATTGATCGCATCATTGAGGGAGAAACCCAGCCACCCCAAAGCTATCCCAAGTCTATGCTCTGCCTCTTTGAATCCCATGGGACATTGCTGATGGTACGCAGAAAAATGAACTCCAAAAGATATACTGTATACATGTCTGGAAAAGAAGTTTATGTGGAGATGGAGCATAGAGTAGGTAGCAGCGAGTTTCAAGTGCTCGAGGCAGACTTGAAGCGGTTGTTGTGGGCTGAAGTGAGGAGTCTAGGGAACGAAGTAGCTTTGTTCATTGGGCGAGGGTGCTCCTTAGCTGTCCATGTATCTCCATATGATCTGTCACGGGACTATCTATCGGGGATCAAATACTGGGGTACCCAAAGAGGAGGAGCTAATAACCATCAAACTTTGATGCTTCCGAATAGGCAAGAACGTGACTACACCTCTTGCCCAACGACCAAGGGTTAACTCCGTCTTGTTCGACCCCCAAAGGTTGGTTCTAGCTCACCCGACGTCTGAGGGCAAACTCCGCGTTGCCCGATGTCTGAGGGCGGACTCCGCTTCGCCCGACCCCCAGGTTTGGCTCCGCCTCGCCCGACATCCGAGGGATGGCTCTGCCTCGCCCGACGTCTGGGGGTAGGCTCTGCCTCGCCCGACGTCTGAGGGCTGGCTCCGCCTCGCTCGACGTTCGGCGGTGGCTCTGCCTCGCCCGACGTCTGGGGTGGCTCTGCCTTGCCCGACGACTGCGCGGTGCTCCTTCATAACTATGCACGCGGATAAGACGGGGCACTCAAGTCAACCGTAATACCGAGGACCATACCCTACACTCATGCAGGAAAGTACCATCAGGATATGACAGGACATGCGCTTTAAGTCCTTCCAGGCATGTCAGAAGCCCGAACAGTGTTGTGGGCGCCGACATTTGTCTTACAGTGTTATGGGCGCCAGCATTTGCCCTTGGGCACGGATCCTGACAGAAGCATACTGCAACCACTATGGTCTAAGAGGAAACTCACATCATCAACAACAACGGACGTGGGGTCACTGAGCTGTCTGCTCTTCGTAGGGTCGTGGCTCAACGCCCTGGTCCGTCGTGCCGCCCGCCAGGCAGAGATGGGACGTGACCACTTGCTGACAAAGCCAGAGCACGGCCCTATCAGGATCAACGGACATACACCCAGCATGGAGCTGTCCCTAGCACCGTCTACCGTGTCAGGAGGGCTCGCTCAGTGGAAAAAGAAGACCCGGCACCTTCAAAGGACCTTCGCCTCTGGTTTTCCTTTTTCTCCCATCTGTAACCCCTGCTTCCCCTTAGCTCTATAAAAGGGAAGGCAGGGCACCCCTCTAAGGGGACCGATCAATTCAACACACCACGCATCACATAACACACAGCATAGCATCAACTAAGCGCTCTGCACCCTTTCAACCTTTCCATCAGAGACTTGGGTCCCGTTCCTCTTGTCAGTTTGTACCCCCTACTATGAACCTTTCAGTGCTAATAACATGAGCGGCAGCCGCAAACTGGACGTAGGCACATTCTGCCTGAACCAGTATAAACCTTGTATCTTTTTAGCACACCATCCAGGCCAAACGCGTAATAATACAAATTTACTCGTTGGTGTTTACTCAAAACACCGACAGTTGGCGTGCCAGGTAGGGGACCTTTGTGCATTCCGACATTAACATCAAGCCACGGATGGCTAGCCACGGAATCAGCTACGTCCTAGGCGCACACGTGCGCTTCAGTGACCTGGACTTCATCGTCATGGTGGGAGGAGAGTTGGCATTGGCTCTCCCCTCCATCGGCCTCAACTACAGGAGGCTTGAGCACCAGCTTAGTGTCTCCCTCGGACCCCAGTCGTCTAGGGAGGACCCGCGCCGCCTCATCCTCTCTCCGGAACACCCCACATGGAGCGCCCCGACATTGTTTCCGTTTGGTCTCCGCAACGCCGCGGCGACCGTTAGCCACCTTGTGGCACAGCGCATGATCCCATCCCCCGCGAACGAGTTCGTGGGGTTGATCGAACGCGTCGCGGAATCTTTCCATGACCTCCTGGTAGAGGAGCTAGGGTCGCCCTCTGGCTCTAACTCCAGCAGGGGAAACCATCACCCCTCTCGTGAATGCTTCATGGCTGGTACCCTCGAGGGGCACGTCGAAAGCGTCCACGAGGGGGAGGCTACTCCAACGAACGACCTCGGCGACGAGGCCGAGAGGGAGACAGCGGCCTCGCCATGCATGCCGGTGGAGCAGCGGAAAGCCCGACATCGAGAGATCGAGGAAGCGCGACTCTAGCTCGAGCAGGAATGCGTGGAGCTCGACCAGGAGATAGAACACCGTGGAGACAATGGGCACACACGCGCCATGGCCCGCGACGTGAACCGGAGGATCATCGTAGACGATGAAGCCCTCCCTCGCTTTGCCCGAGCAAGCCAGAACATCGCCACCGCGGCGGCCTTGCTCCATGGCCTTCCAGAGGCCGCGACGCCCAAGGATCGTCAGGCCCACCGTGAGATTTGCACGCTGCTCGAGCGTGTGGCGGCGTAGCAGGCCGAGAGCTCGTTGTCCCGATGACGCGAGCTCGACACCAGCCAGCGCACGCTCTCAGAATGCCCCGGCAGGGACGCGTCGGTCCACTAGGAACCACAAGGAAGTAGGCAGCACACCGCGGTCCCGGTGCGTCAGCGTCTCGACCGCAACCGTGACACACGTAACACCCTCGATGCCCGCAAACGCGCCTACGATGACCCAAGAGAGGGAGCCAGACGTGGCTATCACCCTCATCGTGGCGGACGCTACGACAGCGGCGAGGACCGAAGCCTGAGCCTCGGCCTGCCGGGGCCTCAGGCCTTCGGCTGACACATCCTCAACGCTGCCTTCCCGCCAAGGTATCGGCCACCGACCAACATCCCGAAGTACTCTAGGGAGACAAACCCCAGACTATGGCTTGAAGACTATCGGCTTGCCTGCCAAGCCGGTGGTGCGAATAATGACGACTTCATTATCCGCAGCCTTCCACTGTTCTTAGCCGATTCGGCACGAGCATGGTTGGAACACCTGCCGTGCAACGCAATCCAAAGTTGGGCAGATCTAAAGGAGATCTTTGTGGAAAACTTCCAGGGCACATACAAGCGCCCTGGGAACCCGTGGGACCTCAAGAACTGCCAATAGAAGGCCGGTGAAACCCTTCGTGGGTACATCCGGCGCTTCTCCCGGCAGTGCAATGAGTCCCTAACGTCGCCGACGCCGACATTATAGGAGCTTTCCTGTCCGGGACCACCTGCGAGTCCCTAGTTCATAAGCTGGGACGCAAGGGCCCGTGAACCACCAAGGAACTCCTGGACATCGCCACCAGCCACGCCTCTAGAGAAGAAGCGATCGGAGCGATCTTCGATCATCTTGATGGCAAGGCGAGGCAGGACGAGGACGTCGGTGAAGGCGCCTCTAATCGTTCCGCCAAGAAGAAGAACAAGAAGCAATGGCGCGAGGGCTCGCTCGTGGCCGCTGCTGACCACAAAGGTGGTCGGAAGCCTGTGGAGGGCACTCCAAACCATTTCAAAAAATTACTCGAAGGACCATGCCTTCCCGGTTAAGCATCTGTACAAGGACTATAGTCTAATGAGGCGGTTCTTGTTCGGAGGCTCCAACAAAGCGGAGCACGAGAAGGACCTTGACCCCACCATGGACGACACCAAGGGGAAGGACGATGGCTTTCCGACACCAGACGGTTGCCTCATGATCTTCGGAGGATCGGCGGCCTATGACTCCAAACGCTGTCAGAAGGTTACGCGCCACGAGGTCTATACGACCAAACTGGCCACACCTGCCTTCCTCCGATCCGATGGTCAGAGTCCGCCATAACCTTCGATCGGATAGACCACCCAGAGAAAGTCCCACATCCGGGGAGATATCCGCTCGTGGTCGACCCGATCGTCGATACGAAGCGGCTCACCAAAATACTGATGGATGGAGGTAGTGGCCTCAACATCATGTATGCCAAGACGCTCGATGAAATGGGCATCGACCGGACATGTGTCCGCCCAACCGGAGCACCTTTCCACGGCATCGTGCCCGGAAAGCAGGCCATGCCACTTTGACAGATCGATCTGCCCATTACCTTCGGGGATCCATCCAATTATAGGACAGAAACCCTCAGCTTCGAGGTGGTCGGGTTCCCCAAAACCTACCATGCCATCCTGGGACGTCCATGCTACGCGAAGTTCATGGCAGTCCCCAACTATACCTACCTCAAACTAAAGATATCGGGCCCCAACGGGGTCATCACCGTCGGCACCTCCTTCTAGCACGCCTACGAGTGCGAGGTCGAGTGCTGCGATCATGCTGTAGCAATCGTCGCCTCCGGAGAGCTCGCCGCCATCAAGGAGGTCACCGAAGAAGCGCCTGACCCCAAGAAGTCGATTGGGTCTTTCGAGCCCGCGGAAGGCTCTAAAGAAGTCCTCATAGACCTCAGGAGCACCGAGGGGAAAACGGTGCGCATTGGTACCACGCTCTCCTCCGAGTAGGAAAGCGCGCTCGTCGGCTTCCTCCGCGCCAACAGAGACATCTTCGTGTGGAAACCCTCTGACATGCCAGGCATTCTGAGGGAAGTCGCCGAGCACACCTTGAAGATCCGCCCAGGCTCCAAGCCAGTGAAACAATGCCTGCGTCGCTTCGATGAGAGGAAACGTAGGACCATCGGCGAGGAGATCGCAAAGCTTTTGGCGGACGGATTCATCAAGGAAGTGTACCACCCAGAGTGGTTAGCCAATCCCGGTCTTGTACGAAAAGAGTGGGAAATGGAGGATGTGTGTTGACTATACGGGTCTCAACAAAGCATGCCTAAAGGATTCGTTTCCTTTGCCACGCATAGACCAGATAGTTGACTCTACCTCGGGGTGCAAAACCCTCTGCTTCCTTGAAGCGTACTCCGGGTACCATCAAATTGTGATGAAAGAGTCCGACCAGCTCGCGACATCGTTCATCACCCCCTTTGGATCGTTCTGCTATGTCACGGTGCCGTTCGGTCTGAAGAACACGGGGGCCACATACCAGCGCTGTATGCTCAAGTGCTTCGGGGACCTCATCGGGCGGACCGTTGAGGCCTACATTGATGACATTGTGG